TATTGCAAGAATGTGCCTGATATTGCTCATAAAGGCCCATTCTGATTGTGGAAGTATATTAGAACACACACACACACTCTCTCTCTCTCCCCCCCCCCCATTTTGGATGCAAAAACGGCCTCAACTAAATTGTGCATTTTTAATAAAAACAAGAAAGTTACAGTAATGTCAATGGTCTGCTTTTTTCACCTATTGTACAGACCCTCTGATTTTAGATCTCTTGCTAGCACTTATTATTCTTTGATATTTAATTTTTAACATGTTTAGAACACTTTGTTCTCAGCAAAGCATGAATGAGGGGGATTAAATTATATACTTTTCTTGGTGACTGGTAATTATACTGTCACTTACCATGCTACACTATTCATTGCATTTAACTGCATAGAGCTCAGGGAAATTTCCCCTCCCTGTGTATTGAAACATGGTGAAAATCTTTGGCTTTTTACAGTATCATGTAGCAATCCTGGGAATAATATCCATGAGTAAACAATATCGTAAAGTTGTATTTTGGATGTTATTTTTTTCTTCAAGCAACCAAAAAGCCCTCTCTCCTCCACTGTGAGGGAGTGAGAGACTTATGGGACTAAGCTCCTACTTAAGTGTATCTGACAAATGTGACAACTGTATCCTATTGCTCTTTGGAGAAAGCAGTAAAATGTAGTTTACAGGTACAAACTTGAAGAATGTCCTATGTAAATTCCAGCTATTGATTTTCAAAAGAAACTAGTGAATTTTCTATGCCTCACTTTTTTGCTGCCTAATTTTAGACATAGTAATAAAAACCCTGATTTTAGAAAGTACTGAGTACCTACTGTCTAAAAAATAAAACCTGTCAAAGAACCAAGCAACTTTCTCGTTTTCTGAACATGGTTCCTGAACAGATCAACATTTACACATCCATCTTCTTTGAACAGTTAAGAGAAAAAATATAGGAGATTACTCTGTCTTTCATTGTGATAAGCATTCACTTTGGACTCCGTTTTATTACTTATCAATTCTGCCCTTTAATTATTTTCATAATTGTTTTCATGAATGGAGAAGGGGGTGCAATTATAGAGATTTGCTTATGTCAGCTACAAACCATTTAATATTTTCTGTACATCTTTTATCTTGGTGTACTTCACTTTGGGTCTCTCCCACATTGTTTGGCATACCTGGGGTAGATGAGGAGGCTGGTGTTCCAATCATAAAAGATTAAAAGCTTGTATCTTAAAAGCCCTATAGTTGACCATCATACATAAGATGAGACTTGTTAGTTTCTTGATTGGGTATATTATTCTAACTTAACATTTTGGTTTTCTTTTATCAGATTGATTAGCCCATATTTCATTCTGAGTGTAGCAACATGGCTTATATAGGCCATTTGGAAGAAAGATATCAAACTCTGACTCAAAGGAAGAAAAGGAGACCAGGTCATGGAAGGAAGTTCCACATTGTATGGAACAAGGCATGGAGATGAGTGAGAAAAGTCATGAAGGATTCAGTTGATTAAGTAAACTGTGTGAGAGTGAGAGAGAGAGAAGCAAGGCTAAGTGGGACCTTGATGGCTAGGAAAAGGAGCTTCAATAAGATACAAAGTGAAGGTGAAGCTAGTGAGGAGAAGGAAAGAAAGGCTAGATGTAGTCAGAAAAGTGAGTCAGATGCTTAGTTTTCACTGGCATTTTGAGCAGGTTAAAAGGTGTGTCAAATTAGTCTTCTGTGCCAAAAAGGAGGAGACTGCAGTAGTGAAAGATATCTGAAGTAAACTTTATAACTTTGCATGAAGTGTGTAATTATGGTTTCTGATGTTAGAGAATGGATAGGTAGGGCCCCAATAACCTAGAGTTTAATTTAAAAATTGGTTTAAAAATAAATGAAAAACTATAATAATTTCCCCATGGTACATTGTTCAAACCGTTATTTGAGGTACTGTTGAATACTCACAATTAAATGCATTATAAAAAAGCAGTATTCATACTAAATTGAACGGAAAAATTCAGATGTAAAAATTATTAAACTTCAGTTAATAGGATGGGGACATTTTCATAAACCATGAATAGCCTTCCTCCCACAAAGTTAATTCAAGAAATATTATCAAAACAGCCCCTATTTTTCTGATTTAATCTGTTGATGCAACTAATTTTCGGTCAACAGGAAAAAAAATCACCAAAATAATTAAAGTGGTTTTTGAGAACAGCAGAAAATACTGCCTAGAACACAGCATGCATGAAATATCAGCAAAATAACAAAGAGTATAGAGGGAGTTTACGGGTGAAAACATGGTACCATTATTGCCACAATAGTAAACTAGCTTTTTCATGGTGATCATCAGTATACATTTATCAACAGATGATTATTGGGAGATGGAGTTAACAAATAGAAGATGATTAACTGCAACCATACATTGTCAGGATATAGTATTTAAAGCACTTTCAGGCTATGTCTAGACGGCCCCCTCTTGCACAAGAAAAAATGCAAATGAGGCGAAGCGGTGAATATCACTGCGCCTCATTTGCACTCTCAATAAGTTGCCATTTTTGTGCAAGGGGCTTTTGCGCAAAACCCCCCTCTTATGCCACTTTTTTTTAGGAAGAATGGCTCTGCATGGGAGGAGGGGGGCTCCTTTTTGCGAAAAAGCCCCTTGCACAGAATGGCAGCTCATTAAGTATGCAAATGACGTGCCGCGATATTCACCGCTTCGCCTCATTTGCATATTCTCTTCCACAAGACTGGGCAGTCTAGACATAGGCATAGTTTGTATTTGTTCCAACGCTATTAAGACTTATTTAAAATGGTACATGGATTAGTACAAAACAGAAAATTTGTGCTTTTAAAATAGTTGGTAATTCTATACTTTCAGTCCCCAGGGTAGCAGAATATAAAATGTTTTTATACAACCAATTTTATCCACGATCTCAAAAGGGATATTAGGTTGGGTTAGACTATGTTTATACGGCATTCTCAGTGAGATTCCTCTGCTTATATAAACATACTTGTGCTAGTTCTCATCAAATGAGTGTGAATATAAATGTCAAACTAGTCATAACAGTACTGATAGTAGCAGTGGAAGAGTGGCTGAGCTGTGCTGAGTATAGACTTGTCTGAAACTCATGAGTAAGTGCTTGGCATTGCTCCACCATCCCTGTTGCTGCCACCATGGTTATACTCCTATTTTTATTTATACTAGCTTGATAAAAGCTAGCATAAATACATGAACAAGGGAATTAGACAAAGCCTTAGTTGTACTGAATATGCAGACCTGAATACTAAATTACTTTTACAAGATGAATCTCTTTCCTTAAGCAGGACCAAATCTAATTATGGAAGTTATTTTGACCATCATTTGACTTTTCATGCTCATGTTTTAAGTTCTGGGGGAAAAAAAAAAAACCTGAAAAATACTATTCAACTTTGGTTTGATAGTTTACTGCAATGGTCCCCAACATGGTGCCTATGGTGCCATGGCGCCCACCGGGGCATTTATCATCTGGGCTGGCCCTGCCACCAGTGCACAGTGCATGGGCGGCCCCTGTCCTGGGCCCGCGGTGCGTGGGCGACCCCGCCCCCAGGTGCGGTGCCAGCCCGGGGGCATGGCCAGCCCCGCCCCCGGACGCCTGGCAGCCCCAAAAGGTTGGGGACCACTGATTTACTGACACTTTCTTACCAACATTAGTTTTCCTGTATTGGCACATGTAATTCTGTTTAGTATGTATTTACTCCAGAATATCCCCAGCTAAAAGAAAAAAGAAATAACTGAATCATCAGGCTTTTGGCCTTTAAAAATTATACCCAATTACACAAAACCAAGACTATATTTTTTCCACTGAGATTTTTGGTAATTACATAAATCGTGAGTGGAAAAATGGTGTATATGTTGCTTTTGTAAAGTTTATATCTAACCCAGCATCTAATAGAGATTAGCATATTTTTTTAATTGATAGTGGTATGGTCATCACATATTTGAAATTTGTCAGGGTTTGTAATACACAAGAACCTCTGTACTCAGGGTGTCTCTAATCTAGGAACACTCATGGTGGTACTGTGACGTGCTTCCACTGAGGCTTTTCCCCGCCACTCCCATAGGAGTGGGGGGCGTGGAACCAAGTGTGCCCCTGGGAGCAGGGCACCAGCTAATCACCCAATCCCCATCCCCCTCACATCCAGACCCCTCACCTGGCAATTTCTTTAATCCGGCATTCCCTGTTTCCCAGAGCTGCTGGATTAAAGAGAGTTTCAAGTATATTACTGAAGACACTGTTAGCTACTTTACAATAGATAAGGATATATGCCACTTCTGTCAGTAAGAAAGGGCGTCAATATTTTAAAACAAACCTACACTTTCCTAATATGTGACATAGGCATGCCAGTGAAATGATATTGTATAGTTGGGCTTCTTTAGGTTAGTTTCTAGTACTGTCACCCATCCTGGTTTTGATATGTACATTTTTGTTTCATATTTAGGTTCTACATATCTCCTGATCACCTACATTAAAGGTTTGCCACAGAGAATAGCAGTCTCAAAATTTCATTCTTGAACTCACTACCTTTATGGTAAGATCCTGTTTACCAAAGAATATATATGGTACTTGCAACTTAAAATCACAAGCATAAATGCTATCTCTAAAAGTGATAGGAACGGAGACAAAGTCCCATTGAAGTCAAAGGTAGTCTTTACATAGACTGCAATGGGTTTTGGATTAGACTTTTAGTTAATATTTCTTACCCAACAAAACTCTCATTAACTTCAGAGTTAGGAGGGGTGAACAGCACCCATAACTGTTTTCTGCCAAATCAATATCTACAGTATACAATGGAATTATCTACTATTGTAACATGGCAGCTGCTCGTCTGCTGACCAGTGCTAATTCTCAGAGGTGGCTTTGTGTGTGGAGTTTTGCATGGACCCAAAAGAGTTAGATTGTCTACCTCTTGCAGCAGCATTCAAGTAAGATAAGGCTATGGCAGAAAGCACCCCTCTTGAGGCCAGAAGGTTTTGTAAACAGATATAGAATATTTATTATGTGATATAGCACTGTGGATGACACTTAAAATTAAAATTTATTTTTAGTTACCACACAAAGTGGGAAATACCACAGTTATTTCCCTATGCTTTGGACCAGATCAAATCTCCCTGAGGTCAAGCGAGTGTCTTTCCATTAACTTGACAGCTGATCAAAACATTCTAAACTCCGAAATAATCATGGTTTCTCTGGTAACTATAAAAAAAGTATAAATAATTAAACTTTAATATATGTCCACAGTATGCATTAGTTCAATAACCCTCACATTAATTATATCTAAACAGTTTTTTCATACACTTCGTATTTGTACTGGATGCCATTCTCTTCCTGGATATCAGCAGGGACTCCTGGGTATCTGGGAAGGAGAGGAAAAAGAAGAAAACCTTATAGTTTAATAGAATGGTGTCTGCAACAAATCAAACAAACTGGAAAGGTCTGAAAACCAAAACACCATTCATAACATGGGAATGTGGATTACATATCAATATTTTAGCAAGTATGTATAATAGCAGCTAACCCTAGTCTTAAGTCATTATCAAGAAAGCATATGACAAGAGGAATCAAACCAATCCAAAATAATGAGTATAAGCAAAATCTGTATATACATTCTGATAAATTTTAATTGTTTAAAAATCACTTTTTAAAGCATAAGATACTTTGCATTGTTTGTTTCTCAGAAGCTCAGAAAAAACTGCAACTATAAAGGCATCTTGAATTTTTCACAAATTTTATGGTAGTTCTGTACATAGCAAGAGAGATAAGAACATAAGAATAGCCATACTGGATCAGATCAAAAGTCCATTTAGCCCAGTTTATCTGGTCTTCTGACAGTGGCCAATGCCAGGTGCACTAGAGGGAATGAACAGAACTTGTAATCATCAAGTGATCCCTCCCTGTCACTTATTTCCAACTTCTGACAAACAGAGGCTATAGGCACCATTTCTACCCATCCTAGCTAATAGTCATTGATGGACCTATCCTCCATGAATTCATGTAGTTCTTTTTTGAACCCTGTTAAAGTCTTGGTCTTCACAACATTCTCTGGCAAGGAGTTCCACGGGTTGACTGTGCATTGTGTGAAGAAATACTTGCTACTGTTTGTTTTAAATCTGCTTCCTAATAATTTTATTTGGTGACCCCTAGTTCTTGTGTTATGGGAGCAAGTAAATAATTTTACCCCTATCTGCTTTCTTCATACCGGTCGTGATTTTATAGACTTCTATCATATCCCGTCTGAGTCTCTTCTTTTCTAGATGAAAAGTCACAGTTTTATTAATTTCTCCTGATATGGCAGCACTTCGACACCCTTAATAAGTTTTGTTGCCCTTTTCTGAACTTTTTCCAAACACTAAAATATCTTTTTGACTTGAGGAAACCACATCTGCACACAGTATTCAAGATGTAGGTGTACCATAGATTTATATAGAGGCAATAAGATATTCTTGGTCTTATTCTCTATCCCCTTTTTAAATTACACTGTTTGTTTTTTTGACTGCTGCTGCATAGTGAGTTGATGTTTTCAGAGAATTATCCACAATGATCCCAAGACCTCTCTTTTGAGCGGTAACAGCTATCATTTTATACATATAGTTGGGATTATGTTTTCCAATATGTATTACTTTGTATTTATGAACATTAAAATTCATCTTCCATTTGTTGCCTAATTTCATGAAATCCTTTTGAAGCTCTTCACATCTGCTTTGGTCTTAACTATTTTGAGCAGTTTAGTACCATGTGCAAATTTTATCAACTCACTGTTTATCCCACTTGACAGGTCATTTATAAATATGTTGAATAGGTTTGGTCCCAGTAAAGACTCCTGCAGGACACCACTAGTTACCTCTCTCCATTCTGAAAAATTACTATTTATTCCTATGCTTTGTTTCCTATCTTTTAACTAGTTATCAGTCCATGAGAGGACCTTCCCCACCAATGATAACTAACTTTACTTAAGAGCCTTTGATGAGGCACCTTCTCAAAGGCTTTCTGGAAATTAAAGTACATTATATCCACTGGATCCCCCTTGTCCACATGCTTGTTGACCCTCTCAAAGAATTCTAGTAGAGCGAGGCATAATTTTTCTTTACAAAAACCATGTTGACTTTCCCCAACAAATTATGTCCATGATGTGTCTGACAAATCTGTTCTTGACTGTTCTTTCAACCAATATGCCCAGTACTGAAGTTAGACTTACTGGTCTGTATTTACCAGGATGACCTCTAGAGCCCTTTTTGAAAACTGATGTCACATTAGCTATCTTCCAGTCATTTGGTACAGAACCTGATTTAAAGGATATGTTACAAACCACAGTTAGTAGTTCTGAAATTTCGCATCTGAGTTCTTTCAGAACTCTTGGGTGAATGCCATCTGGTTCTGGTATTTATTACTAGGGATGTAACATCCCATTTAATTAGTTAACTGGTTAAATGTTAATATTAACCCATTAACTGATTAAATGGGGATGGGCTAGGCTGGAGTGTGCCCCCCCCCGACTGCACAGCAAGAGTGCCACCCCAGCTGTGGGCTGAAACTGACCAGCAGCTGACTCTGGGAAGCCCAGGGCAAAGCAGCTGAGGTGCTGCTGGGTTGGTCCCCTAGCGCCGCCCTTCGGAGTCAGCCGCTGGTCAGTTTCAGCAGTGGCTGACTTGGGAAGTCTGGGGCAGAGCAGCTGGGGGTGCTGCCAGGTTGGTCCCATAGTGCTGAGGGGCACATCCCCCCCCCCACTCCACCCCAGACTCCTCATAGCCCCCCCTTCCGATGGTCCAAAATATTTGATAATCCGGCACCCCTGGGTCCTAAAGGGGCTGGATTATCAGAAGATTGCTGTACTTGTTTTCTCTAATGCTACATCTACACTATGAGTTTTCTTGGCAAAAAATATGCTAATGATGGACTCATTTGCAGAGTCACTATATCATTTGCATATTCTGCTGATCTGTTTTTGCGCTAGGGTTTTTGTGCAAAAACAAGCAGAGTGGACATTTTCTTTTTGTGCAAAAACAAGCAGAGTGGACGTTTTCTTTTTGCGCAAAACCCCCTTTTTCCGCAAGATCTTTATGCCCCAAAAAAGGAGGTATACCAAACTTGTGGAAAAAGAGGTTTTTGCGCAAAAAGAAAACATCCACACTGCTTGTTTTTGGCACAAAAATCCCAGCGCAAAAACGGATCGGCAGAATATATGCAACTGAGATCGCGACTCATGCAAATGAGTCCCTCATTAGCATATTGTTTGCCAAGAAAATTCGTAGTTTAGACACAGACTAAGTTAAACCCACAGTTGTGCAACTTTAGCCAAACAGCTCTTTGGTTACTTTTATATGAAGACAGAATTTCTGTAAGTTTTATGACACCTTTGTAAATTATTTTAAGATTTATTGCAGTGTTCCTCAAAGTGGGCCGTGGGCCCGCAGCTGCTTTGTTTACCCAAAGGGTTGGTAGTTACGGAGCCTCATGGTTCCGTTGGCTCCAATTCATTGTTTCCAGTCAAGGAGAGCACCTGGCCCAGGCCGCTGCTTTTCACGGATCTTTTTGGATGGAAACAGCCAAACTGAAGTCAATGGGAGCCACGAGGCTCCGTGGCTGCAGACCCATGAGTAAACAAAGCAGTGTGGTCTGCTAGCCGCTTTCCCAAAGTGGGCCTGTGGCCCACACTGAGAAACACTGCTTTATCGTCATCTGTTTCTGAAATCAGTTGCATATGGTACTTTAATTGTCTGCTTAGGACATTAAGCCAGCTAAAATACCCCTAGTCTGGAAAGGAAAAAGCCCATAAATGCACATTGTGCTAAAATATTTAAGATTTTTTTCACATAACAGTTGTCATCACTTCATAGAAGACAATCTAATTAAAGTCTATGCAATTTAATTGAGCAAAACCTAACGCGTGACATACTATATATATTTCTTAAAAAGGGAGCATAGATAATGTTACCAAAACTTTTATTTCTTCCTATAGAAGCAGTAAATGTTAGAACAGGGCAAATGTACTTATTAATTCTCAAATATTTTGCTGCTCTACATACGACATTTTTCACTAAAGAAAACTAAATCACTAATTTGCCTCCAAGAGTCACAGAGCAGTGGGAGAATGTATAAGAGGAGATAGATACCAATTCCTCTGCACCCTGGGAAGCAGCCATGGGAGGTGCTTGAACTGTCTCTATCTGAAAAATTAGCTGTGGATATCTATGTTGATGTCCACGGATGCAGAAACCCCTGGATATAAAATGGATATCTGCACATTTGCAGGATTCGGGATAAAAAAATTTATATCCACATCCATATTTGCAAAAATGAGCTGTGGATAGCTGCATTTACACCCATGGATATCATTATTCACATCAGCAGATATATGTGGATTTGAGGGCTCTAAAGACCAGCTGCACCATACTAGCTGGGATATGTAAGTGGGACTGTGATTGGAGTAACGATTTTCAACCTATTTACCACTGCAGCTTTGTGTGTGTTACGTGGGCTGCAGCCACACACATATATACTACCCATATGGCCCGAAAGATGTCTCGTGGGTTGTAGCTGCGTGCTGACGGGGCTGCAAATGGTGTAGACTGTAGAGGAAGAGGAAATCGCCTATCTGAAAAACTAGCACTAGAAAATTTGAGGTGGTTAGGAGTAGGAACTGTAGGGGAATTGTCTTCAGTTTCCCCACTCAAGCTAGCCTACCTTGAGGGAAAGCAATCACACTGTGATGCTACATAGATTTCATTAGTACCAGAATGATTGGATTTATCTGCTGATATATTTTGAAATGGGGAACCTCAGCTGCAACACTAGCCCCATCATTAGCAAATTCCCTCCAAACAATCCAGGTAGATCAAGTTTAAAGAACAGCTTATACTGAGTGAGATGTGACCTTGTGGACAAGACTTGGCAAAACTTGAGTTATTGCTCAAGCTAAGGCTGCAGTGAAGACAAGCCCTTAGAGACACATGTAGGGTGTTTTCTGTCAAATGGGGGGTGGGAGGGTGAAACAAATTAAGATTCTGATTTTGCACAGATTTATACGTGTGTAATTTTACTTATGTGAGCAGTCTCATTAGGCTTACATTTTTGGCTATAATATTGGAGCCTTAATTTGTTTTATTATATTGGACAGAGACTCCATTAGTTTTTAATTAAGCTACATTTTTCTTCAAGGATGGCATATTAGCTCTGATCCATATTATTCAAATGATTTTTTTCTTGAAAACTTACATACCAGTAAAGGAGAGCAGAATATGGCCCTAACTAGTATTAAAAATAATTCAAAGTTGATTCTGAAGTTTTTCATTTTTCTGCTATTTGAAACTGAACTGTAGCACATCATTTCAGATAAACACATCTTTATACTTACTCTGGGAGAAGTTTGTATTTCTCTAAATCAATTTCTGGAAAAAATGTATCACTTTCAAACTCATGCAAAATTCTTGTCACAAACAATCGCTGGTGAACTGGTTTTGCCATTGCTGCCTGAAAAATCAAAATAAAGGGTTAAAATTGATTAGTTTCTTTCTACAACACCAAACTAGTCAACATGGAGAATTATTTTTGTCATGGAGATTTTTAAAGTATATTTTGATTCAGAAATATTTTTAGTCAAACTTTAAAAAACATCCAATAGATTTATCATTTCAAATGCTATTTTTCTTTGCCATTCCCCCCCATTCTTGACCTCATTATCTGCACTAAATATCCCTAGTGAAATGCCCCAAAGCCCCTAGAGATCAGAGTTTTAGGATGGAAACATTTATGGTTCCCTATACAGTTATTGTGAAAAGACTGACACTATGTATTCAGCTGAAATTTAGAGAGTCTTCTATGTACCTTGATTATCGCATGGGACTGGTAGTCAGGAGATTCTGATTCTATTTCTGGCTCCATCCAATTAGAGTGGGATCTTAGGTAAGTTAATTTTTTCATCCAAATCTCATCTTTTAAATGGTGATACCATCTACCATGGCACTCTGTGCATGCCCCAAGGAGACACTCAGCACCTACACTCAATATTCACCATGTTTTGTACAAAGTATGCTTTGTGAGGTATAGAGATATTAGTGTGTAATTGCATAAAATTTCAGCGGTTACACGACTATTTGATAGTTCACGAAGGCGGGGCCAGCAGCCAGTGTGCTCCTGACCCCACTCCTGGGGAGCCTCCCATCACCAGGTACTGTAGCCTCTCTATCAGAGGTAGCAGCATGGAGTGAAGGGGCAGGGGTGGTGGTGGTGGGGAAACGGGGGGGCGCAGTCTGCAAGGGGAACCAATTTAAAAATCAGCTTCCTAGGCAGACTGGCTCCACCTGCCACCACATGCTGCTACCTCTGATGTAGAGGCAGTAGTGCGGGGTGGCAACAGCCCCTATCCATGTGGTGCTTGAGCTCCCCACAGACAGAGGCTGCTCCCCGGCAGCAGTCCCTGTCCATGGTGGGAAAAGGAGGAAAAGTCTGAGCTCCCCCTGGACAGAGGCTGCTCCCCGGCAGCAGTCCCTGTCCATGGTGGGAAAAGGAGGAAAAGTCTGAGCTCCCCCTGGACAGAGGCTGCTCCGTGGCAACAACCCCAGTCCACTGAGAGCTTGGAATGCCCACAGATAGGGGCTGCTGCTGCAAAGCAGCCTTTGTCTGCAGCAAGCCTGGGCAAGAAGTCTTAGAGGGATAACAGTATTCATCTGTATCTGCAAAAGCAATGAGGAGTCCTGTTGCACTTTAGAGACTAACAGATTTATTAGGGCATAAGCTTTCACGGGTAAAACACATTTGATCAGATGAACTGGAGTGGAAGTTACAGAAGCAGGAATATATATTAGGAAGAAGTTGCCTGTATTTATGAAGCTAATCAAGTCACTGTGGAGGCGGGTCATTCACAGCATTTGGTGTGGAAATGGGAATATCCTGAGAAGTGCCACAAGACTCCTCATTGTTAATGTTGACGGCCTAATTAAGGACATAATCCTTGTGAGAGTGCGTATCTCAGAAACTGAATACAATAGGAACCTCTGAGAGATAGCACTACTCATTGAAGACTGACCCAGGTCATAGCACAATTGATTTCCAGAAAGTTGGAAGAAGGTATAAAAGTGGAAAGTGACATCATGAAGGGATCTTACTTTCCCAAAACAACACTGAAAATACTGGAAGAAAAAAAGACTGACCAGTGTTGGGAAGCAGAGGAGTGCTGGTTCCAAAAAGGAAGGAAGAAAGCCCTGTCGTGTATGAAACATCAGCAAATTGCTTGTACTATATAACAGGGAGAGACACTGCTTGGTTCAATTCCAATTTAGTATATTAGGCTTAGACTGCTTTTCTTTGGCAGTCTACTTTGATCTATTGGTTATCAGTTATAATCCCTTAAAATCCATCTTTCTACAGTTAATATATCTGGGTTTTTTTTTTCAACCTAAAACAGTGTGGTTTGGGTGAAGTGCTAGGGGGAAAAAATCTCAGGTAAGGGACAAGGGTTAGGGTGTGTTCACTGAACTTTATAGAACTGACAAACTGGGTAATAAATTCATACTGATCAGTTTTTTGATAAGGGCAGGATGGTGAAGAGCTGGGGGTACTTTGACAGGAGCTTCTCTGTTAGTTATGCAATATAGCTCGTAGAGAAGAATGGCCCCTTCCTGTGGATGTTTGGGGGTGAGGGCAAGCTTGGAAGGCTTTTCAGCTTGTCACAGCAGCACAATGTGAGGGGGAATCTACGCTGATAATACAGAGGACTCAGTGGTACCTCAGTTCCACGTGACACCCTGAGAGGGAACGGACCATCACATGTACTTCCTAGTAGGGATGCGAAGGTCTAAGCTGTTAACCGGTGGAGCTGCTCCAGCTCTGTGGAGGGCCCACCATGGACAGAGACTGCTTCAGCATAGCCCTTGCCTGCGGCAAGTCTGGGTGTCCAATAGGCAGGAGCTGCTCTGATTGGGATGCTGGAGCAGCCCCTGCCTGTGGCCCAGGTGCCTTGTAGGTAAGAGCTGTTCCTGGTGGGGGGAAGCATTCCAGCCCAGTGGTAGGCCAGGTGCCTCCTCTTGCTCTCCTCTTTAATGAGCTAACCAGTTTAACAATATGTTTTACCATTTAGCCATTTAAATGGGATATTACATCCCTACTTCTTGGGTTGCTAAGAATTTTATGTCATCTGATATGCCACTATAGAAGAAGTGCAAGGTATTCATGGATCAAGGCCAGAAGGGACTTCTGTGATTATTTAGTTTGACCTTCTGCATGTCACAGAATTTCACCAGATGTTTTCTGCATTAAGCATACACTTTCTGGCTGAGTCTAGATCTAGCATGTATTTTAGAAAGACATAGAATAATAGGACTGGAAGGGACCTCGAGAGGTCATCGAGTCCAGCCCCCCGCCCTCAAGGCAGGACCAAGCTCCGTCTACACCATCCCTGACAGATGTCTATCTAACCTGTTCTTAAATATCTCCAGAGAGGGAGATTCCACCACATCTAGACTTGATATTAAGACTTCAAATAATGGAAAATCATCCACACTTCTAGGTAAGTTGCTCCAATGGTTAATTAGCCTTATTGTTAAGCATTTGCATTTCTAGTCTGTATTCCTTATTGCAACCAGTGTTTAAGTTGTTAAGCCATTGATCATAATGAGACATGCCTTTTTTGATTGTCACATCATTATAGTACCACAGAGCAATGTGCCAGAAAAAAAGTCAAGCTTTGATTTTTTTTTTTAAAGCATGACCAAAGTTACAAAATCTTTGGGGTCAAATTCATCCCAAACATAAATTCATGCAAGCTCGAGTTACACCAAGGATGAATTTGTCCCCATGGTTCTATAGAAACACTTTCATCTTTCTGACTTTCTTGGATTTACACCGTTAAAATCCGTATCATTGTTTAGATACAATATACACAATACAAATATTTTCAGTTTTCTTCCTCTTCCCTTAATCTTTTTTCACTGGACAATGCTCCTTTTTCTAAAGGTCATTCATGTTGTACCATGCTACTAACTACTGCCTCATCTCTGACAAATGCTTGTTAACTTGTTTATGCAAATTTCATCTATTACTTTTAACAGACAGCACTACTGAGGAAAGAGTTTCTCAAACTGCTCTATTGTTAGTCAATGCTTTAATGTGAAAAGGATAAATCACAGTGCCCTTGCACTCAACTAGAATTCTTCTGGCAATTATGTAAACACCAATAGCTTAAAAGAAAGGGAGAGTATGGAGTGGAGAAGACGAGGGAAGAACAACATTTTTTTCAATTGTAAACTAGTGAAAATTAAGAAATTTGATTCACTAGTAAAACGTGATAACATGCTAATAAGATTACCAGCAATCACTCCAGTGTCAACAAGGTCTTGGTAAAGTAGCCATTCAAATCAGTTTTCTATGGTTACAAATTCATAGCCACTCTGGCTCAGAACAAATACACCTATGAGTCACTCCGTTACAGTTTGTGCCTTTGATCTTGTTGTCATGTAACTAATAAGGTGGGTGAAAAAGAGAGAGAGAGATGTGAGCCTCTGCTCTAAAGAGGTCATGGCTGAGAATCTGGAAGCTGCCCTAGTGAGTGCCTTTGCTGAGCCATGAGGAGGAAATACAGGTGCAGTTGCCCTGAATTGTGACAATCTCACGCTATGTCTACATTGCGCCTCTCTTGCACAAAAGCCTATGCAAATGAAGCACAGATTAGCATATTGATGCACTTCATTTGCATCATTAATTAGGGGGTGTTTTTGTACAAGAGACTTTTGCACAAAAAGGAGCTGTCTTCTTGAAAAAAAATGAGGATTGGGGAGTGCAACGAGTGGGGACACAGCCCTCTAGTAATATATAACAACATTTTCAAAGGGTACTGTCAGCTATGTGAGTTCTGAGCAATTTCTCAGCATAATGAATTAGTGGAGTAGGCTATTTTTATTAACAGAATTGGGATGATTGTTTGATTTTATGAATGATGGTGGTGAAGACCATCGTATGAATGTAAGTAGAACTTGAGTCTTCTATTGCATAGCAACTAACAGGGTTTTTTGTACTTACTTGGAAATACTATAATATATTAATGCTATATTTCACTGGAAATGGATTGTCCCTTGAATATACAATGAAACGTTATAATCTAATAATGTATTTTGACTCTTCCATTTTTTTGTGTGCAAATATTAGGAGTGTGAGTGATGGAAGAATGATATGGGAGTATGGAACTGGCTGGCTGCCTTGTTGCCAGTGACTGCTGTATCAGGGCAGTAGGAATAGACTGGTAGACTATCAAAACAGAGGAATGAGGTTTTAGATAGAGCACATGGTCCTCTTTATGTGTTTTAGGCAATCAGTGTGTCCCAATCAGATACTCTCTCCATCTAAGAGCACTGCTGTGTTCCTGCTCTTTATGTACCACTGATGTAAATGCATGTTACACAAATGGCTTTACAAATTAAGTCTCTGCTTCAGGGGTCAGGCTTATTAACATTATTCAGTAAAATCCTTCATCTTTGTAT